GAAGTGCCGTGCAAGGATGAGGGCAGCCCAGATGGGATCTGCACACCCATATAGCCTAACATATGGGGGTCTCACAACCAAATCTGCCCCATTAGTGGCCGGATCATGCTGCAGCACGCTGACTTGTCGGGCTGTGCTTGTTGTAAGATCCACGCATCCCTCTGTGGTCCCGGGCCTGCAGCATCCTGGTGGTTTGGGTGGAAGGAGTGGGGAATAGGGGATGTTTGCTGAACTTTGCACCAGTTGAGTGAAGGGATTTCCGCCGCTTGGCTGGAGCAGTCGCTTCCTGCCTCCTCACATTACATCTCGCCCCGTGCACGCCATCTCCAGGGTTTGCTCATTAGCTGCTTGCTGCAGCTGGGTAAGGAAAAGGTGGCCGGAATGGGAAGTGCGGGCGGCACAGGCGTGTGTGTGTGCTTGCCTGTGCACGACCGCTCGTGGGTTTCCGCTCCGTATCGCCCTGCAAGATGCTGGAAACCATGGAAGCTGCTTGCAGGGGTCTTGAGATGTCCGTGGGTTCAGCCCATGATGCAGCAGGAGTGTTGGCAGCACCCAGAACTAACCGCACCCTGTAGAGAGGAGGCAGTGGGCTGGGGGAGCTGGTACCTTTGCCCTCCTGTCACCGGAGCTGTGATTTGGGTGCTGTGGGGTCCTGCCAGCTCAGGATCAGGGTGGCTGAAGGGCAGGCTGGGCCTGGGGCTGGGGCTGGGATAATCCCAACCAGGAAGAGCAGCCCCTGATTTTTCCCCTTTCCTCTGCACGCAGCGGGGATGGCTTTTACCGCAACGATGACCTGACTCAGAGACCTCCAGCCGCTAAATATCGTCCTGACCAGTTCAGGGGCTACAACACAGGTAGTGCCACACAGCCGGGGCAGGTTCACACAGCCCCTCGGGGGGCTGGGGAAGGGCTGCGTGGGGAGGGGGACGTTCCCAGGTGATGAAATCCACCCCGCCACAGTGACAAGGCTCTCGCTGAGTTCACCGAGGCCAGGCTTTCCCCCCAAAACCATAAAATGCTTCCCCTGGGTACCAGCTATGCCCTGAGGCTGAAACATCCTTGATGTGTCTACGGACCCTTTTTGTTGCGATGGCTCTGTCCCAAGGCTTTCTTTGGCAACAGCCTCTCCCCCTGTTTCCCTGCCTTTGGGCGGCTGTTAAGCCTGGGGTCCCATGGCTGGGGGTCAACACGGGCTTAGCTTCCAGCCCCAGCATCACTCGGCTCTCGCCTCAAGCCGAAACTGCCCCTGTGGTCCCCTTGGCCGGAGGTGGCAACTCATGGTTTCTCTCCCCGCTCAGACCTCCGCGGGCTGTGGATTTACAAGCTGGAGAGCCGCGTGGGCGTCAACTACCGGCTGAAGTGCCTGGAGGGGACGGGGCGGCAGCAGGAGCCGCGGGCGTGGAGCCAGGGCCTGCCCGCCTGCCCCTGCTCCCTGCAGCAAGGGCAGCAGGACCCCCGCTTCAAGAGCAGCCGGGGAGGCAAGTGGACATGCCGCTTCCCCACCCTCCCTGTCCCCCAGCTGCCCCTCCCCATTTCCCCTGCAAGGGTGGTTGGGGTCCCTCCTGGCCGGGCAGGCAGGGGACCACAAGGAAAATGAGGCGGGGGCTGCCCTTCCCTGCAGAGACAGGGAAAATGGGGAGGAATGAGGGCTGACCTGTCCCTGTGTTGTTAGACTGGACGGAGCTGTCTAAGCTGCACGGGGACAGTGGGCATGGACCCTCCCCAGCACCAGGGTCTCACCTTGGGGGACCACTTGGATGGTCTCCATCAGTCTCTCCAAACTGCCTGTAGCACCATGGGTGATGTGGTGGGAGTGATGGATAACAAGGAGCCAACCCCGGCCCCACTCGTCGCCCTGGAGCAGGGATGCTGGCTGGGAAGAGCAGCACCAGGGCAGGGATGCTGGCAGGGGGGAGCTGTGCTGAGGCTCATTGCTGCCCCGTTGCAGGCTGGTGGGCTGCCCGTGTCTCCCTGCTGCCCTCCGCCTCCCCCAACCAGCACGGCGCCGGCGTCCGCTGCCTGTACGACAGCCAGAGCCAGCTCATCGAGGGGCGGCAGGAGAGGTACTGGAGGTCCTCCAGGCAGGCGTCCCCCTACCGCGGTAAGCACAGCCAGCCCTGGCATCCCCCAGCTGAGGCTGGCATCGCTGTAGCCCTGTAAATCATTTTAATCTCCATGTTAACTTATTTCCTGACATGCTGTTGCCCTCGGTGGGACTGTGGACCGGCCAAAAGCCGAGGCGAGCGCCCTGCCTGCCCAGAGCCAGCCCATATCTCTCTCCTCTCCCCTTCAGCCCCTTACTCTAATTTTTGTCTCCAGACCAGGAGCTGAAGTTGTACGATTGGTGCTGTAACCAGGCGGGCAGTGCCCACCTCTGCGCCCGCTACAGTGAGAAGAGACCAAAGATCGGCTGTGATGGATACCAGTCACCCGGCACAGGTGGGTTTGCAGCCCGTGTGTGCCAGGGCAATGCCCTTTTGGTGCCCAGGGCTGGGGGGGGAACATCCCAGCCACCCCGTGGTTAATGCAGCAAGAGCCCCGGGCAGACAAGAGATGGGTTTTGGGGTGCCCACGTGCAGGTTGTGCTGTGCCCTGGGTTGGGGGGGGGAGGGGGGCATTTCCCTTAGCACATAACCACCGGCGTAATCTGGGTGTGACAGCACCAGGAGGGGAGGAGGACCGCAGCTAACACGGTTGTTGGTGTGAGTTGATCTAGGGCTTTCTTGCAACCCCCAGCAGGTTCCTCGGAGGAGGCAGAGAGTGACTCAGAGGAGCAGAGAGGTGAGCGGGCTCGGGGGTCTCCTCTCTACTGGCTGCTTCCCACTGCCCCCCATCCCCACCACGTGGAAACTCCCCTGGGGCTCCTGGCTCACCCGAGGCCCCCGGGGAGGAGGTGGCCGGGCAATCCTCGTTTCTTCTTTGCAGATGGAGAGGACAAGTAACTGAGGGGTTGCACATCTGCAACATGGTCCAGGCCACGGCTGGTCCTCCGAGTCCTTTGCTCCTGCTCATCCCCTGTGTCCCCCTGCTCTCTCCATCACCCATCACCCCTGCCCGCAGTACAGGGCGGCTCACTCAGCTGGTGCCTGTGGTTGCCTTCACTGGCACAAGTTCATTTTTCTAACCCAGACTTGTCCCAAGAAGGTGGTTGCTTTAGTCGCCCTTCCCCAGCTGCAGCTGAGCGGGTGCCCGCAGGCACCTCCTTGCTGGCGGGGAGATGGGCAGGTACTCCCCACCACATATGCCACCCCCTGTCCTCCCTGCATCCCACTGTGCCTCCCACGCTGTGGGGTGAGGTTGGCCCCCTGGCACTCGGGGAAAGGGTTTTTGCGCCTCGTGTGGGTCGACTGTGGCCAAGCCCCCGAGTGCCGTGGTGTGCCAGGCTCACCCTGTGAGCCGTTCCTGTCTTGTCCCACTTCTGTCCCCCAGCCATCCCTCCCCGGGTGGTCCCCAGGCCCTATGCCAGGAAGGGGCAATTCTCCGGATCAAGCCCAAGTCTGCTGGATGCCTCTGCTGGGTGTGCGAGGGCAAAATGCAATCCCACGACCAGAAATGTCGGAAGAACAATAATTTTTTGTGTGCATAAGAGAGCATCTGCCTTTCTTAAAAGAAATAATAAATCCTTGTCAAATCTTGTTTGGTCAATAAAGCCTCTGAGGGGTCTGAGCATCAC